ACAGGGTTATTTATGAGTGTCATAATCTCGTCAGCAGCCTGGAAGCTCTTGGTGAAGTCAAACAGGAAACTGCTTGCTCCAACCTCACCTGGGGCATCATTCTGGGACCCCGGCTCCTAGGATCATGTAGGGACCTAGGTTCATGTTCACCTCAGATACATTTGGCCCAAGAAACCAGCCATGCTGATTCGAGGGTATGTGTGTGTGTGTGTTTGTTGAGAAAAAGGAGGAACAGGAATAGAAAAGGCTCTATGATCCATGTCAACAAGTCAGGCAGCCAGAAATTGCCGAGTGACTCCCGGAAGAATAATCTGCAATCTGTGGGCAGGGGTAGGGGTGGCAGTGGGTGGGTGTGTGTTGGGGAGGTTGCTTAGAAAAATAAACATCTCAGGTGAAGGACGTGTGTTTGTTGGCGCGCCACGCACTACATGGCGTGGATCTTCTGTCTGAACTCAATCAAGAGAAGAGCTTTTGAAAACTGGGCACATGCCCCTATAAATGAAGTCTGCGCAAAGGGCTTCAGGAAGTCTGTGGGGGAAACAGACCGGAAAGACGATGGAAAACGTCCACACACTTTTTGAAGCTGGAAAGGAGTGCGTTGTAACCATGACTTCAGCGTGGCTGTGCATATGGTGGGGCTTCCACCCCCCCACCCCCCTCCATAATGCAGTCAGGACTGGCGATATGCTTTCCAGATGGCAGGCACCAGTGCCATGTGCCAACCAGCAGTTGGTTCTCCATCAACCGATCAGGTAGGAGAAAGAGAAAGTAGAAAGAGGGAGAAAGGAAAGAAGAAATAGGCAAGAATGAAGCAAGCAAGCAAGCAAATAGCTCAGAGGCTCCAAGAGCATATGTCTATCCTACGACAGAGACCGATGATAAGGAATGAAAGTGCTTGACCCAATAGCCCTCGGTTCAATGGCCATGTGCATAAATCAGCTTTCATGGGCCGGCTTGGTGATGCTACTTATTGGGGAAGGTGTGTGGTGTCAGGATTCTGGTTCTAACTGGACAATACTGAATGACGATGGATGGCAGGCCTTTCCGGAGGGAAGGGGTGTAAATGGCATCCCCTCGCTGCTGAAGTCTCTCAGAAAAATATAAACAGCAGTTTTGTAATTATACGAAATAACTTGGCCTTCGAACTTAAAGCCCGACTTTGCGTTACACCCGTGAGTCAGCAGCTCCCTAGAACAATGAACTTCTGAACTTGCACAAAGTCCTTGCCCGCGGTTCAGTTCGTCACAGGCTCCTTGCAGGACCACGAGAGGTAGGCATGAGCATCTCAAAGCAGTCGTGCCTGAAACACCACAGGGCACTATACATGGGCACCCGCCACCTGTTTTTTTCTGGACTGTGCCATAAGCCGAAGACACAACTGGACGAGTAAAAAGAGTATTCCTACCATGTAAAGCAAACCAGATATATAGAAGGAAAAATCGTATTTTTGTGTGATGTCGTAGATCCACCCTGCAAAACAAAACAAAGATTGAGAAGACTTCCGGTGAAAAGTCAAGGGCACGAAGCCAAACTCATTGCCATCAAATCGATTCTGACTCCTCGTGACCCGAGAGGACAGAGTAGAACTGCCTCTGTGAAGTTCCAAGACTGTAACCTTTACAGCCTCGCTTTTCTCTCATGGAATGGCTGGTGGTTTCAAACTGGTGGCCTTATGATAAGTAGCTTCAAGCATTCACCACTAGACTCCAGGCTCCTTCAAGAACACAAAGCTGTGCTTATTGCTACATCGATTGTTTGTACAATGATTTATTTCTGTGCCATTTAATGCCCACAGTTCCATTTAGCCATGAAAAAGAAAGAAAACAAACAAAAAACCCAACCAGTTATTGTTCAGCTGATTCTGATTCATGGTAATCCCATGTGTCATAAGAGAACTGTGTCAAGGGAAATAGAGGAAAGAGCTGGGAGGCAAAGGGCATTTATAGAGGTCTAGATAAAGACATGTACATATGCAAA